TGGGCTACACGCCGATCCGGGGAAGTCATGGGGACCCGGCGAGGTCTGTGGAAGCAGAGGGCCTTGTCCTTTCGGTATCATGTTAGGGTTTGGGGTTTAGGGTTGCCCCCACAGAACTCTCAAAGTGCCCATGAGCAAACCTAGGGCCGTAGGATACCTAGGGATGGGCCACACGGCATCATCAAGAGGCCGTAACCCGACTATAAACGCTCGCCCGCCGGCAGGCGTTCATGCCAAGCATCTGCGAGGCGGTCATGCTAGTACGAGCACGCCTCGCGAACCAAAAATGGCAAATTCGGCTTTAGGGGCACATCAAGCGTGCCCATCAAATCAAGTCTACGCTAGGGGGCATCTTCAAAAAGATGCCTTGGCCTGCGTCAAGTTCCACGCAAGCCGACGTGCAGAACGATTCAGACTGAGCAGGTCAGCTAGACAGAACCCCTTGCTGTCTTCTCGGCTATGTCCAGTTTAGTTTGTGTCGCTCCCTGCGCCGGCTGTATTGAATTCACTGCCCATCAGCAAAAGTATGGACATGCCTTCAGCACGCCTTTAAAAGCACCTTTTGGCTCCCCACCCAGAAGGGAAGACCTCACCGGGCGGCGCCAACCCGGGTGGCCGGTTGCCGCACCGCCGGGGCAGCCTACAATGACACCTCAGTGGCCGCCTGCTGCTTTGCAAGAAGGCGGCGCATGTCCCGAGGATAGCTCCAGTGGAGCAGAGTGTAGGCCGCCAGAGTGATCAGCCAAGGAATGCAGATGGTGGCCGCCATCGCACTCCCAAGAGCCGTCGCAGAGTGAAGCGACTTTCCGCTCTTCTCCTCCTCACCGAATGTGTAGCCAAAGACGCCGGTCGCCAAGGTGGAGACCATGGCAGGCCCGATGGCATTGGCCAGCGAGTTCTCCATGGCACACTCCCAAGCCATAACCTTGCTGCGATCGCTGGCTGGCACGATGTCAGAGAGAATCGGGAAGTTGGTGCCGGACTGGGCCCAGGATCCCAGGATGCCGAAGCCAGCAATGAGGGCGAAGTAGGTGCCGAAGCTTCCCGAGCCCGCCGGGATGCCGTAGAACTGCAGGAAGACGAGCGGGATGCCGATGGCCACGGTGATCTGTGCGCTCAAGGGCCGGCCGTGGTAGCCGAAGCGCCGGGCCAGGGCATCGGCCACCATGCCCCCGATGATGTTCCCGAACATGCCCATGACGGTGCCCTCCGAGGCGAGGATGCTGGCCTCCCAGTCCTCCAAGCCGCAGAGCTTGAAGTAGAGGAGGTTGTTGCCCATGACGCTCCAGGGGATGGTGCCGAAGACGCCTTGCATTATCATCACGCAGAAGGTCGGGATGCAGAGGAAGTTCAGGACCGTGCAGAGCTCCGTGCGCACGGCCGCACAGCCCTTCTTCTCGGAGGCGGCGTCCAACTGGTGGGGCGGCTCTACAAGGAAGCCGGCGACCCCGGCAGCCACGCAGAAGGCCACGAGGCCTGCGCCCGCGAAGAGGAAGCGCCAGCCGGGGATGTCCCCCACGTGGGGGTTGGCCACGTTGCCGGCGATCAGCAGGGAGCAGAACATGCCGAAGAGCAGCGCGCTCTGCACGCGCCCGAAGATCTTGCCGCGGCGGTTGTCCGAAGTGAGGTCGGCAATCAGGCCATTGCACACGGGCCGCAGGGAGGCGAGGAAGAAGCCGCTCATGCCGCGCAGGAGCACCATGACGAAGAAGTTGGGGACGAAGGCAAAGATGGCCACCGCAAGGCCCTCGCCCAGAGCGCCGACGAAGAGGATGTGCTTCTTCTTCATGGTGCCCCGGTCGGCCAAGATGCCCCAGAAGGGCGCGGCCAGGTTCGTCAGCACCATCTGCACCGTGGTCAGGATGGCAAAATGGCCAAGGCTGAGGCCAAGGTCCCGCTGCAAGGCAAACTGGCACGCCGGAACCAGCTGCGTGTCTAAGCCCTCCAGGGCACTCACGCAGCAAAGCCAGAAGAGGATCAGGGAGCTCGGCTCCCTCTCCTCAGCCTTCTCGGACTTCACCGTGGCCTTCTCTGTGCTGTAGACCTTCCCGTCCTCCACAACAGCGTTTGCATCCGCCTTGACAGGGCTGGGTGGGGCCGCCACTGGGGTCAACTCGGCCATGGTCTAGAGTCGGAAAGGCTTGGTGCGCACGGCTTGGCCAATCGAAGACAAAACACTTGAGCCGACATGCAGCGTTTGGCGTTTGAGGAAACAGTCCTTAATAGGGATTCGACGGGTACTCAGGATTGTTAGTACAAGGGGGAACATCCCAACGTTCGAGACCTTCAGACGACATGAGCAGTGCCTTTAGTCAAGGCCTGCATGCCCCATGAATCTCAGCGAAACTTCTATGTGGGGGGCTTCCGAAAATCAGGGTACCTTCTTTCCTTATTAGAAGGGAATCCTACTATTTGGGAGTCCATTTTAGGGTTCCCAGATGTTCGTGAAACCCCATGTGGGGCTAAAAGCACAGAAGATCAAGCGAACCCTACATAATCCCTTAAAGGGTATTTAGTATGTATAGGGCAGTAAGCAAGTCCAAAAAGGCAGGTTTCTGTGTTTTCGCATCTGGAAGAGGATGGAACTGCTGGGCTGTGTAGTCCTGCTTGTGGGCTACACGCCGATCCGGGCAAGTCATGGGGACCCAGCGAGGTCTGTGGAAGCAGAGGGCTTGTCCTTTTGGTATCATGTTAGGGTTTAGGGTTTGGGGTTTAGGGTTTAGGCTTGCCCCCACAGAACTCTCAAAGTGCCCATGAGCAAACCTAGGGCCGTTTGATACCTAGGGATGGGCCATACGGCATCAGCAAGAGGCCGTAACCCGACTATAGACGCTCGCCCGCCGGCAGCGTTCATGCCAAGCATCTGCGAGGCGGTCATGCTAGTACGAGCACGCCTCGCGAGCCAAAAATGGCAAATTCGGCTTTAGGGGCACATCAAGCGTGCCCATCAGATCAAGTCTACGCTAGGGGGCATCTTCAAAAAAATGCCTTGGCCTGCGTCAAGTTCCACGCAAGCCGACGTGCAGAACGATTCAAACTGAGCAGGTCAGCTAGACAGAAACCCCTTGCTGTCTTCTCGGCTATGTCCAGTTTAGTTTGCGTCGCTCCCTTAGCCGGCCGTATTGAATTCACTGCCCATCAGCAAAAGTATGGACATGCCTTCAGCACGCCTTTAAAAGCACTGGTGGCTCCCCACCCAGAAGGGAAGACCTCACCGGGGGGCGCCAACCCGGGTGGCCGGTTGCCGCACCGCCGGGGCAGCCTACAATGACACCTCAGTGGCCGCCTGCTGCTTTGCAAGAAGGCGGCGCATGTCCCGAGGATAGCTCCAGTGGAGCAGAGTGTAGGCCGCCAGAGTGATCAGCCAAGGAATGCAGATGGTGGCCGCCATCGCACTCCCAAGAGCCGTCGCAGAGTGAAGCGACTTTCCGCTCTTCTCCTCCTCACCGAATGTGTAGCCAAAGACGCCGGTCGCCAAGGTGGAGACCATGGCAGGCCCGATGGCATTGGCCAGCGAGTTCTCCATGGCACACTCCCAAGCCATAACCTTGCTGCGATCGCTGGCTGGCACGATGTCAGAGAGAATCGGGAAGTTGGTGCCGGACTGGGCCCAGGATCCCAGGATGCCGAAGCCAGCAATGAGGGCGAAGTAGGTGCCGAAGCTTCCCGAGCCCGCCGGGATGCCGTAGAACTGTAGGAAGACGAGCGGGATGCCGATGGCCACGGTGATCTGTGCGCTCAAGGGCCGGCCGTGGTAGCCGAAGCGCCGGGCCAGGGCATCGGCCACCATGCCCCCGATGATGTTCCCGAACATGCCCATGACGGTGCCCTCCGAGGCGAGGATGCTGGCCTCCCAGTCCTCCAAGCCGCAGAGCTTGAAGTAGAGGAGGTTGTTGCCCATGACGCTCCAGGGGATGGTGCCGAAGACGCCTTGCATTATCATCACGCAGAAGGTCGGGATGCAGAGGAAGTTCAGGACCGTGCAGAGCTCCGTGCGCACGGCCGCACAGCCCTTCTTCTCGGAGGCGGCGTCCAACTGGTGGGGCGGCTCTACAAGGAAGCCGGCGACCCCGGCAGCCACGCAGAAGGCCACGAGGCCTGCGCCCGCGAAGAGGAAGCGCCAGCCGGGGATGTCCCCCACGTGGGGGTTGGCCACGTTGCCGGCGATCAGCAGGGAGCAGAACATGCCGAAGAGCAGCGCGCTCTGCACGCGCCCGAAGATCTTGCCGCGGCGGTTGTCCGAAGTGAGGTCGGCAATCAGGCCATTGCACACGGGCCGCAGGGAGGCGAGGAAGAAGCCGCTCATGCCGCGCAGGAGCACCATGACGAAGAAGTTGGGGACGAAGGCAAAGATGGCCACCGCAAGGCCCTCGCCCAGAGCGCCGACGAAGAGGATGTGCTTCTTCTTCATGGTGCCCCGGTCGGCCAAGATGCCCCAGAAGGGCGCGGCCAGGTTCGTCAGCACCATCTGCACCGTGGTCAGGATGGCAAAATGGCCAAGGCTGAGGCCAAGGTCCCGCTGCAAGGCAAACTGGCACGCCGGAACCAGCTGCGTGTCTAAGCCCTCCAGGGCACTCACGCAGCAAAGCCAGAAGAGGATCAGGGAGCTCGGCTCCCTCTCCTCAGCCTTCTCGGACTTCACCGTGGCCTTCTCTGTGCTGTAGACCTTCCCGTCCTCCACAACAGCGTTTGCATCCGCCTTGACAGGGCTGGGTGGGGCCGCCACTGGGGTCAACTCGGCCATGGTCTAGAGTCAGAAAGGCTTGGTGCGCACGGCTTGGCCAATCGAAGACAAAACGCTCGAGCCGACATGCAGCGTTTGGCGTTTGAGGGGTGAATCTTGGGATGTTCCCCCTTTATACTAACATTCCTTAACAGGGACTATACTGGGGGGGTACTATACAGTACAAGGGGTACATCCCAAGGTGAGTCACAGGTTCGGATCAGGCATGCAAGACCGGGCAAGGCGTTCCCTCGGCCTTCTGGCAGGATGGAGACCTTCATACGACACGAGCAGGCAGCGTCGTCATAGATGCAGGCTGGTCGGTCCATGCCTGGTCAAGGATGCCCCATGAATCGCAGAAACCTCCATGTGAGGCTAAAAAGCACTCCAGCGGCCAGCCCTACATGCAAACACCGGGAAGCTGAAAAACCCTAAGGCCCGGAACCCAACCAGAATCAGCCAAGGAGCCGCCAACGCTGCGCAAGTGGAAAAACTCCGGCCGATCGCGAATGAACTGCAGCCTTTCGGCACCCAAGGAGGGGACACAAGGCTTGCAGGACTCACTCCCAAAGGTCCGGAAGGGACTTAGGGTTTAGGGTTTAGGGTTTAGGGTTTAGGGTTTAGGGTTTAGGGTTTAGGGTTTAGGGTTTAGGGTCTTCAAGGGAAAAGCTCAAGTTTGGCAAACACACCGCAAGTTCCGCCCAAATTGCTGGCCCAAGGAGCAAGTACCCAGCATACGTCCTGGCGTGGTCAGACCTCGGATGTTTATAATGTAGGGGCCTTAATAATTAGAATAGGGTTTTTTGGGAGTCATTATGGTATACTTACAAAGGGGCCATAAGGGATTATTGGTAATTCTTCCGACCCCGACGTTACAGAATTCCAGGAAACCTCCCGCTTGGTGTATGGCTTTTATGGGGGGCAAGGGTCGCCTTTGTAAACCCTAAACCCTAAACCCTAAACCCTAAACCCTAAACCCTAAACCCTAAACCCACAAGCCTAAACCCTCAACCCTAAACCCTAAACCCTGGCTCAGCGCAGTCTCTCGTTGTGACGAGACGCAGCGGACACGAAGATGCTGTCCCAGGCTGGGGGAGTGCTGCAGTTGAGTCTTCCTTGGAATGAACCCCATAGAATTGGGGTCATATACCCTATACTACTATCATTCCTCTTAAGGTATATGAACCCTCAACCCTTTTAGGGTTCATTTCGTCCACAAGGTTCCACGCCCTCCTCCGCCTCGTCCTCGCCACTCTCACGAGATCCCCTTTCCCGGGCGCTGGCGCTGCCCGCGCCAGCGCTCTGCACGAAGAGCTCGGCCACAGGGTGGAAGCGGACCACAGCTCCAATGCGCCGCCGTACCTAGTTCATGGCTGGGGCAGCATTAAAATTTTTAAATGTTTATTCCTTATTGAGTTCAAGTACCTTAAAAATGCAAAATGCTACCCCGCTATGACAAAGGCACCTTGCCGTTGTGGAGGAGCCAGGCCACGTCCACAGCCTCGGCTTCGGAGCCTCGCGTGAGGCGTGTGGCCAGGCGCTGGATCAGCTCCCGCTCCAGCTGCCGCAGGGCGTGCACCGCCCGCTCGCTCACGGAGCTTCCGCAACTTCCGGGCGTCTTGGGCCCCGAGGGCCCAGGGCGTGTGGCGCCCAGCGGGGCGCGGCCGACGGCCGTCGCCATTTCCCCAGAACTTGGGGCTTCCGCAGTCTTGACGGAGAGGAGGTGGCCACCGTGCCAGGGCCGGACTTTCAGGAGCTCGGGGAAGAGGGCCACGAATTGAAGGAGCTTCCCATCGCCCAGGCGCTTCCGAAGGTCGGGCCGAACTGCCGGCAGGTAGTTGGCCTCAGGGGACAACTAAGGGGGCCAAAAGCGCCTACAGGCAGCAGCAGAAAGAACCACCCCCCCCCCCCCCCCCGGAACAGAAGCGCAGCTTGTGATAGTTGGGCCTAGAAAATTGGTAGCAGCTGCAGAGCAGCGGCGCAAAAAAGATTCGGCCTGCAGGGTGCCACCATGCCGCCGCACCTCTTCTGCCAAGTCTTCTGCAAGGGCGCGGTCCGTCATGGGGCGAGGGCGTGGAGCTCAGCATCTAGAGCTGCTGCGGGGGAGTAGAGACTTCAATCTGGAATTCTCGCACCCTAAACCCTAAACCCTAAACCCGAAACCCGAAACCCTAAACCCTAGCTTTGTGAGGCACAGCTGGGTCTGGGATGCTCCGAAGCCGGCATGCATGCTTTGGATGTTCTGCTGGTCCGGTCCTAGATTCGGTGCCCTTCTGCCACTTTGAAAAAGGCACTGAAGCCACCAGAAGGCAACAAATTTACCTGGGCCGAAAGCCTGTGAACCCCGTGTTGGCCCTCATGCCGCCTGCAGCCCTAAAGCAAGAACCGTCCAGGAGGCCTCAGAAAGCAACCGGCCATATTATATCACTTCACTTACTTCACATTCTGGGACCACTCGTCCAACTTTAGGGCATATTCAACAGAAAAGGGAAGCTGGAGGAACCGAAGACACTGTAGAAAAATGGATTTGCAAGAGCTGAGACCAGAGTAAATATGAAGGCCCCAGGAAGTCACACCCTCCAGCATTCAGGAGTAGCGGCCTCTCCCGGCGCCATCCTGCCCTGAACACAAGGACCCTCAAGTCGCCAATCCCCACGGATATCCTAAACCCTAAGCCCTAAGCCCTAAACCCTAAACCCTAAACCCTAAACCCTAAACCCTACACCGAGATATCCGCACTGGTTTTAGACAGACAGATACACACAGTGTGCTTGTATGCGTTTACATCGACTGTAACTTTCTCTATGCAGACCCTCATTTGTTCTACTGGTATGTACCTGACAGTTCTGCAACTATGCGTATATAGATACGTATGTACACGCCTTGTCTATATATACATACACGAATATGTACAAACACATATATGTACATATATATATATATACACATATATTTACACACAGGCACCTCGATGAATATGTGTGTATATATATATATACATATACACCAAGCCACATATAAACACATGTGGCAGGTAGATAGGATACACGCTCCTTTGTTCGCCTCGCCACATCCCAAACCCCCGCCCCCATAAGACCTGAAAGTTCTTGGGTCCCGGCTCCCAGCATTGAGCTGCTTCGGGTTCGTTCTGCACTGACACCTGGGAAGTCTGTATTGTCGGGGTTTGGGATCTTAAGGGATTGGATGTATAGTTGGGTGGTATAAGTGCGCCAGCGTGCGGTCGTCATCGTCGTGTCGCCGTCTCTGTCGTCTTCTTCTCTTTGCCATCAAGCCGTCGTCGTGATCACCGTCGTCGCCATTATCGCCGTGAACCTCCTGGTTGCCAGACTTCCTCGTGCGAACACATTCTTCCCGGAACCATATTGCCAGTGCGGATGTATAAACTCCCATGATGGGGGCGTGCGCCTATATAGCTTGAAAGGCTGAGAGGGCATGCTGCCAGGGCACGCCCCAGAGCGGAATACCCGCAGACTTCATCTCCTGCCATGGAAAGCATGGGCTTAGTAAGGCTTTGGGGCTTGCGGCCTCGACTCTCACACGCGAGGGTTGGGGGCCTCTGCAGGATCTGAAGAACGCGCGCAGGGGGTTTGGTTTGTGGTTTATAGGGCTTGGGGCTTGGCCTGAACTGCTCGCAGATCTCCTCAGGAAAGGGCTGAGAACATGGAGGAACTGCAAATACTCAAAACTCTTAGCCTCCCACATGTAGGGAAGGAGGTTATAGGGAGTCCCTTAAAAGCTTTAGGGTTGAGGACGTTTGAGAAGAAACCCATAAACCCCAAACCCTGAACCCTATAAACTTTAAACCCCAAACCCTGAGCCCCTAAACCCTAAACCCTAAATTTCAAACCCTAGACCTAACCCCCTTAACCCTAAACCAACCCTAAACCCTAAACCAACCCAACCCTAAAACCCTAAACCCTAAACCCTAAACCCTAAACCCTACCTTGGTCCCCACCAGGAACCCAAAAGCCCCGTCGGCCGCTTTGCCTCCACGAAGCGCACGAAGTGGCGCGCCCAGGCATCCCGACCTTGGTTCCCAAGTGGAAAAAAAGGGTTTAGGGTTTAGGGCTTAGGGTTTGGGGTTTAGGGTTTAGAGTTTAGGGTTTAGGGTTTATTTAGGGTTTAGGGTTTAGGGCTTAGGGTTTAGGGCTTCAGTGGGTAAACTTGCTCAGATCCGAACAGTGCGGCAGCAAGCGTCCTGCAGCACATGAGCTCTCTCGTGCAAGGGATGGCGTTTCAGGGTTTAGGGTTTGCCCTTTTTGCAACCAGGACTGCTCGGCTGCCGCACACAACTAGCATCACAGTTCTCGTGACTGCAAAACCAACTGTGCCACCCGTTCCATAGTGATGTCATCAAGCATCTCAAGTAGCACAATTTGGTGAAAGACTGTCATGCACTTCTCCGCCAACGACCGCACATACCCGCACCAACGACCGCACATACCCGCATGCGCGTCATATGAAAAATGGATCACGAACACACAAACCTGGACTCTAAATCCCTAAACCCCAAGCCTAAAACCCCAAAGACGCTAAACCCGAAACCCGAAAACCCGATAACCCGAAAATCCCTCAACCCGAAACCCCTAAACGCTAAAACCCTAACCCCTAAACCATAAACCCTCAACGCCAAACCCTAAACCCCAAACCCCAAACACTAAACCCCAAACCCTAAACCCCAAAACCATTTTTGATGTTGACAAGACCACCGAAGATCTCCACTATATATATATATATATATATATATATATATATAAAGATATATATATATATATATATGGTAGCAAATATATGTATATATACCCTTTAAGTGATTGTATAGGGCCCTCCAAAACTCTAAATAACCCTTTAAGGGATCATATGGGGCAATCAATTCCCTCATTCCTTCATTCAGAACAAGGCAGGCCTTCCCCGTGGAAGGTGCGCCGCGTCTTCATCCATGGAGGGGGGCTCCAGGGGCTCGCCTCCGTCTGAAGGGTTTGGGGTTTAGGGTTTCGGGTTTAGGGTTTAGGGCTTTTTTTTGCCACCCGACTAGCCGCGGCAATGCGGGGTACAAGGTCGGAGTTTGGGGCTTTAGGGCTTTAGGGCTTTAGGGTTTAGGGTTTATCCCCTTTTGCGCTCCAGTTCTAAGGTGGCTGTTCGCCGCACGGGGTACACCCTGAGCCAATCCTTGTCCGCAAGTTGCAGGTCTTCTTTCCCGACATGCGAAGAGTGCGAATGATTATTCTGGGCCCTAAACCCTAAACCCTAAACCCGAAACCTTAAACCCTAAACCCTAAACCCTTGACATCAGAAAGGATCTGTTCGCGCGGCGATTCGCGGGCCGACTTGATAGGACAAAGATGACAACACCCAAGAATCATGGGAGTTGCGTTTAGGGTTGAGGGTTTAGGGTTTAGGATTTAGGGTTTAGGGTTTAGGGCTTAGGGCTCAGGGCTTAGGGTTTAGGGTTTAGGGTTTCGGGTCTAGGGTTTAGGGGTTCCCATCAAGACCAGTGTGGGTGTATGATCGGCCCAGCCACCAGAATCTCCATGGGAGCGCCACGAGTGCGTGCGGCATCTCGCATCAGCGGGTTGATTGCCTCCTCGCGCTTTCTTGGGTCTAGGCTTGCGGGTGCAGGGTTTAGGGTTCAGGGTTTGGGGTTAGGGTTTAGGGTTCAGGGTTCAGGGTTGCGGGTTTAGGGTTTAGGGCTTAGGGCTTAGGGTTTAGGGTTTAGGGTTTAGGGTTTAGGGTTTAGGGTTTAGGGTTCAGGGTTTAGGGTTTAGGGTTTAGGGTTTAGATCCAGCAAACCCTAACTAACACCCAAACTTAAGTCACAAACCCTTATCGGAACACGAGCCCACCCTATATACATGTATATATATATACACATATAATATGCAAAAAGAATATATCACTTAACTGAATATCTATATACATGTGTATATATATATATATATATGTATGTATAAAATGTAACCGTATGCAAGATAAAGATGTTTCAGGAGTGTGTGGTCAGCGTGTGGTTGGGGGCGGAGTGGACCACCCCCGCCACCCCTCGTACGAAAAATCAGGCAGACCCTAAACCCTAAACCCTAAACCCTAAACCCTAAACCCTAAACCCTAAACCCTAAACCCTAAACCTATCTCAAGTCTTGTCCTCGTAGCGCTCGAGGCTGAACCCCTTCAGATCCATGTCGCCTCCGACATTCACCAGGGGATCCGAAGTATGGGCCCTTCACTTGCGTCCCTTGCTACGTAACCCAACCCTAAACCCTAAACCCTAAACCCTAAACCCTAAACCCTAAACCCTAAACCCTAAACCCTAAACCCTAAACCCTAAACCCTAAACCCTAAACCCTAAACCCTAAACCCATACATACACTACACATAACAAGGGCACATACTTCGCATCCCTGTAGATCCATTTATGCAGGGGTAAGGGACACTACTGGAGGTCCAACCTTCGATTCTGGGGCTCAAGCCTAAACCCTATAAACCCTAAACCCTGAAACCCCCAAACCCCCAACCCTAAACCCCAAACCCCAAACTCTAAGCCCTAAACCCGAAACCCTAAACCGCCGGGTTGCTAAGGCTTTAGGTCTTCGACTCTCGCACTCGCTCGGGGCAGGCAGGGAGCCAATCGGTCTCCAATCGCACTGTCACTGGCTTTCCTACTTGGAGGTTCATGGTACTTATTAACCGAGGGTTAGGCTTTAGGGTTTAGGGCTTAGGGTTTAGGGTGTATAAGTACAGGTATAATTGGTGAACAAGCACCATGAGCCTCCAAGTAAGGTTTCCTAAGGTTCCCTAGGTACCCCCTCCCTTAAGGACCCTACAATCCCCTAACGCCCTGTTCTATTCTTCAATTTCAAGGCTCAGGGAACTTGTTTGTTTATGGTCTTTGGACACAGAAAAATAAGGACTGGAAGTACAATATCTGCAGATGCTCCAAGCCAACCTTCCTCCGCGAGCACACAGTCAATGCGAGTTTGTGGAGGGTTTAGGGTTTAGGGTTTAGGGCTTAGGGCTTAGGGCTTAGGGCTCAGGTTTCAGGGTTTAGGGTTCAGGGTTTAGGGCTTAGGGTTTAGGGTTTGTGTGTAAAGTTTAAGGTTAGGGTTTGGGGTTTAGGGCCTGGAAAACTGAGGGCCGGCACCTTCCTTGAGGTCGCCACAGGTCCACGAGTAGAGCGAGAAGTCACAGGAGCCGATGGGAACCCGCCCTGAGCTGCAGGTTCTTCGCGTGCGGTGTGTTCAGGTGAGACGAAATCAGACCCAGGAACGCTAAACCCTAACCCTAAACCCTAAACCCTTTTTACAACTGGACTCCTCGCTGCCAGGCTGAAGGCAATGACCAGCTGCTAAACAGAAGGCCACCACACAATTAGGAAAAGCAACCCTAAACCCTAAACCCTAAGCCCTAAACCCTAAACCCCAAACCCTAAACCCTAAACCCCAAACCCTAAACCCTAAACCCTATCTCGCAGGCGGGATCCCCCTCTTTTTTGGGCTCCACCCTTCCGCGAAATGCTCACCGCTTTGAACCTTCTTCGAAGCCCAATATTTCAGCCCAGGGAAAGCTGGAACCCCAAACCCTAAACCCTGAACCCTAAACCCTAAACCCTAAACCCTAAACCCGAAACCCGAAACCCTAAACCCTAAACTAAACCCCTCAACAGCCCAACAAACCCTGCCGAGCATCCGAGGTTGTAGCCCAGACCTCCCCAGCTGCTTCGGGAGAAAAGCGGGGGCTTTTTGCAACTCTCAGAAGGAAACGGTCTTGGTCGCTCAGAAACTCGAGCTAAAACCCTAAACCCTAAATCCTAAACCCTAAACCCTTCAAACCCCTCAACCCTAAACCCTAAACCCTTAGGTTTGGGGAGTTGGGGGCTTGGTGCTGTAGAGTTGAGGGTAGGGGCTAAACCCGGCTGAAGCCTGCTCCCACATCCCGAAACAGGCACGCAAGCATCCCTTGAGCGAAAGCTGCCCGTCCGAAACACTGAGCAAGCAACCCCACCCTGAGAATATGAGAACTACTTGGAGGTTCATGGTACTTATTCACCAATTATTGCTGTACTTACAACGCGCCAAGAGGGCCCCTTAAGTTTAGGGTTTAGGGTTTAGGGTTTAGGGTTTAGGGTTTAGGGTTTAGGGTTTAGGGTTTAGGGTTTAGGGTTTAGGGTTTAGGGTTTAGGGTTTAGGGTTTGGGGCTCCATGAATGCCTCGGTGCGGATGGAAGTAGGCTGTCAGGACCTCCTGCCGGCGTCCTGACTCACGGAAGCAAAGGGTCTGGCTTTGAAGGGCGGGGGGCTTTGCAGAGTTTAGGGCACACTTGGAGGTTCATGGTACTTCTTAACCAATTAGAACTGTACTGATTACTGTACTTATAACAATACTAGGGCACTTAAGAGGCTTGTAAGTACAGTTCGAAGTGCAGGTATAGTTACAATCGGTTAACAAGTGCCATGAAACTCCAAGTAGGGTTTCGGACTCTCACTCTAGCGCATGGCAGGGCAGACTTCGAGGGCTCGAGGTTTGGGATGTAGAGGTTCTGGGGATCTCGATGTTGTGCAAGGGCTTGTGGGTGGGGTCATTGGCAGGTGTCCCCGCCACACCGTTCACGACCACAACATCCAAGACGTACCTACTTCTAGCTTACCCAGAGACTCCAAAACCTCTTAGTGGAGGAATGTACCTTAAACCAGACTTCCGCTCTTGGCACACCTGTCGCCAAACCGCTATGCAAGACGTGAGAGAGGCCTAGGGGTTGTTTTGGGGCTACTTAGGTATATAGGGTATATATAAGGGTAAATAGGTGAATAGGAGTAAGGGTCCCTTCAAGGGGTCCCTCCTTTTATCCCTTAAGTCAAGGATCCCCTGAACTCGCGGCGCTCCCGTGGCAACATACTCACACTGTCACACTGAAATGTGAACAAGGGACATCATCGAGCTAATCTCGGAGGCACACTGTTCATGGGACTCTACCTTGACACCCAAGGTTGTCCCCTACTTGGGTTTGGGGGTCCTTTTCAAACATCCTCTGAGGGAATATAAGGCCATATGAGGAGTATATTCAGGGAACCTCTTGGGGGTACATCCTTCGTGGTCCGATTAGGACTCCCTTGAACTGTTGAAAGAACAAACCCTAAACCCTAAACCCTAAACCCTAAACCCTAAACCCTAGACCCTAAACCCCCAAGCTCGCCTGGGCTCATGCGCTTGAGCGTCTCTGCGGAGGCCTCCACTTCCGTCGGCTGCATCCGACAAGCCGAGTGCTCTCCCCAAATACAGGTTTAGGGTTTAGCGTTTAGGGTTTAGGGTTTAGGGTTTAGGGTTTAGTGTTTAGGGTTTAGGGTTTAGGGTTTAGGGTTTAGGGTTCAGGGTTTAGGATTTAGGGTTTTTGCACATTAGGGATGTTTGCCCCTTATACTATCAGTCCTGAATGGGGATTATCGTACCCCCTATTGAAATCCCGTTTAAGGATTGTTAGTATAGGAAGAACATAAGAATTATAGTGCACTTGCATATTGGACGACTAGTTAGGGAAGATTGTAGCAAATCCGAATATCCAATCATCTCAAACTAATATATTGTCGGTCATTACATAATGATATGTTACAGCCCTGGATAACAACACATTTCAAGTAGAGTACATGATGGTAGCATGTGACTATTTCAAGCCCCTTCAAGCCCATAAACGCCCCTACTCAACTAACACCCCTGAGAGCCCTAAACCCTAAACCCTAGACCCTACACCCTAAACCCCAAACCCTAGACCCTAGACCCTAAACCCTAAGCGCCCCTCGGAGCCCCTGAACCTCCGTGAAGCTGCCGCCGAAGCCGCGCCAGGGGCGCGGCTGGATGGCGCCTGCACGGAACGCGACACTTCTCGGGTTTGGGGCGCTTGCTTGGGCTCTTTGATTCAAGGGGTTGGGGTTTAGGGTTTAGGGTTTAGGGTTTAGGGTTCAGCGTTCAGCGTTCAGGGTTCAGGGTTTGGGGTTTGGGGTTTGGGGTTTGGGGTTTGGGGTTTGGGGTTTGCGGTTTGGGGTTTGGGGTTTAGGGTTTTTGGCCGCCTGCCTAGCAGCCTCGCAACCACACTGCAGGGGTGCAAAGTGTCCGACTGAAGTCTCTGTATAGAGAAGCCAAAAGGATGGAAAAGATCGCGATGCGATGTTCTCGGCAACTGTCTTGATTGTGAGATCACCATGAAGGCATGACGGCGCGACGCCCCGAAGATACCAGTAGACTCCAGTACTTCTATCGTGCCGACAGAGGACCTCACCTTGCTTTCACAGCTACGGTAGACGAGGTACACCTAGCCCGAGTAGATAAGTGATCACCAGCATCATAGACCTGATGTGCAGACTAGCCTCCGGTTGGCCATCTCATCTTCTGCTTCTCTCCGGTCGCTATTGATGGTCTGCACAAGCCTATGGAGTTTCACCACGACCTCTTTTCAGTTTGGGGTTTCGGGTTTCGGGTTTAGGGTTGGGCTCAGGGCCGTTTAAGAATCCATCGTAACCCTATTGGCGCCCTAAACCCTAAACCCTAAACCCTAAACCCTAAACCCTAAACCCTAAACCCTAAACCCTAAACCCTAAAACCCAAACCCGAACCCCAAAAGCGCCCTAAACAGCCCCGTAATCCGACACGGCCTGCGTGGACGAAAACGCCCGGTTCCTGAGCTCCTGCCGATGGGTCCTGGGGCGAGGGCCTTAGGGCTTGGGGGTTTGGGGGTTTAAGGGGGGCTTGGGAGGTTTAGGGGGTTTGGGGTTTGGGGTTTAGGGTTTAGGGTTTAGGTTTAGGGTTTAGAGTTGAGGGTCTAGGGTCAGTTTAAGGTCGGTTCAGGGCCTGGGGCTTCGGGGTTTGGTTGGGGTAGAAGCCCCACTGGGATATGCACCCTAACGCTGGCTGTGAGTAAAGCTAACCGACTTAGAGCGCTGCTTAGAAGTGTCCATGAATTTATAGACCGGAGTTTGTCGAAGGACTGCAATTTCCAGGCTCCCAGAATGCTTCCCACAAGGCCAGGTTTTGCCAGAGGACTGCAAAATCCAGTAAAATCTGGCTTCTCTCTGGAGCCTAGAATCCTAGAAGTTGCCGTCCTTTGTCAAAATCTGGCCTTCGACATTGCACTTGATTTGTCATGTCGCCCTGTCGCCTCCGATCATGCCTCGGCGTAGTTGTGCGGAACTTCCGGGTGTACTGTGCTGTCCGGCTGCCAGACAACATGAGGGAGAAGTACAGGTTCGTGACCCAAGGTTCGGGACTCAGAGCCCCTCCGAAGGATGAACCGCCAAGGTTCGGGACGCAGAGCCCCTCCGAATGATGAAGAACCGCCAAGGTTCGGGACGCAGAGCCCCTCCGGATGATAAACCGCCAAGGTTCCCCTCCGGATGAGAAACCTCCAAGGTTCGGGACGCAGAGCCCCTCCGCATGATAAACCGCCAAGGTTCGGGACCCAAAGCCCCTCCGGACGATAAACCGCCAAGGTTCGGGACGCAGAGCCCCTCCGAATGATGAAGAACCGCCAAGGTTCGGGACGCAGAGCCCCTCCGGACGATAAACCGCCAAGGTTCCCCTCCGGATGAGAAACCTCCAAGGTTCGGGACGCAGAGCCCCTCCGCATGATAAACCGCCAAGGTTCGGGACCCAAAGCCCCTCCGGACGATAAACCGCCAAGGTTCGGGACGCAGAGCCCCTCCGAATGATGAAGAACCGCCAAGGTTCGGGACGCAGAGCCCCTCCGGACGATAAACCGCCAAGGTTCCCCTCCGCATGAGAAACCTCCAAGGTTCGGGACGCAGAGCCCCTCCGCATGATAAACCTCCAAGGTTCGTGACCCAAAGCCCCTCCGGACGATAAACCGCCAAGGTTCGGGACGCAGAGCCCCTCCGAATGATGAAGAACCGCCAAGGTTCGGGACGCAGAGCCCCTCCGGACGATAAACCGCCAAGGTTCCCCTCCGCATGAGAAACCTCCAAGGTTCGGGACGCAGAGCCCCTCCGCATGATAAACCTCCAAGGTTCGTGACCCAAAGCCCCTCCGGACGATAAACCGCCAAGGTTCGGGACGCAGAGCCGCAGAGCCCCTCCGCATGATAAACCGCCAAGGTTCGGGACCCAAAGCCCCTCCGGACGATAAACCGCCAAGGTTCGGGACGCAGAGCCCCTCCGAATGATGAAGAACCGCCAAGGTTCGGGACGCAGAGCCCCTCCGGACGATAAACCGCCAAGGTTCCCCTCCGGATGAGAAACCTCCAAGGTTCGGGACGCAGAGCCCCTCCGCATGATAAACCTCCAAGGTTCGGGACGCAGAGCCCCTCCGGACCATAAACCGTTCGGGACGCAGAGCCCCTCCAGATGATGAACCGCCAAGGTTCGGGCCCCTCCGGATGATAAACCTCCAAGGTTCGGGACGCAGAGCCCCTCCGGACGATAAACCGCCAAGGTTCCCCTCCGGATGAGAAACCTCCAAGGTTCGGGACGCAGAGCCCCTCCGGATGATAAACCGCCAAGGTTCGGGACGCAGAGCCCCTCCGAATGATACACCGCCTCCTCGGTTTGGGGGTCTGGGGTGCAGGTGCAGAACCCTAAACCCTAAACCCTAAGGGAGCCTTTTGGTCTGTTGGGTTCTTTGAAGGATTGCTGTAGCCCGTTGAAGTTGCGAGCTCTGAGAAAGTGAGTGATTATGTTAGCCCCCTCGAAATTGCCAGTTCGCAGTGAATCGCGTACAATTTCCATTTATCATGGCGTTGAGGGTTTAATTAGGGCTAGGGTTCAGGGTTCAGAGCTTAGGGAAACCCGACCTCCACAAGCTTCTGAGAGGGAAGCAATCGCAGGCGTTCCGCTTTGGGTCCCGCCTGAGCGATTGAGTTGTGGGGGGGGGGGGGGGTGGGGTGGTGGGGGAGGTTTGGGGTTTAGGGTTTCGGGTTAAGGGTTCAGTTGACGTTTTAGACTGTAGCATGTACCTCCTCAACCCTAGACCTAAGCCCCAAACCCCCCCCCTAAGGAACTTTGTTCTACACTCGCTACCACTCGGTTCGAGTAGAGACCCGCGCAAGGGGATCCCTTGGTCTAGAAACCCCCAGGTGTAACTGCACCTAAGCCGTCAATCCGTTCCTGTATTCCTGTAAACCCTTTTGCAGCAGGCTTGGATCCTACACCCGGACATGTCTTCTAAACCCTAAACCCTAAACCCTAAACCCTAAACCTTAAACCCTAAACCCTAAACCCTAAGCCCTAAACCCTAAACCCTAAACCCTAAACCCCAAACCGATCCCTAGGCCCGAGGAAGTTAGGGATTGCGGGGGCCACCTACAGACCCAAAGGCAGCACAAAGCCGGCGCGCCTGGCTGCGAATCACGGTTGCCAGCTCAAAGTTCGGCCTCGCTCCAGTGGGTGTAGGGTGTAGGGTTTAGGGTTTAGGGTTTAGGGTTTGGGGTTTAGGGTTTAGGGTTTAGGGTTCAGGGTTTAGGGTTTAGGGTTTAGGGTTCTGTGTGCATGTTTTGTTTGGTCTCCATTCTTCACGCTTGGAAGCGACGGCGCATTGCAGGCATTGAAGGCCACGAATCGGCGTTCATGTCTCCCACCAAACGGTCATGCTCTGCATCTACACGATGAATTCTGTAAGTTAGGGTCCCTGTTTGGGTACCCCATATATTGGGGGCCCCTAAACCCTAAACCCTCAACCCTCAACCCTAAACCCTAAACCCTAAACCCCAAGAGGGGCCACAAGTCTCGAGAAGTGGCCATCTGTCTGCGAGGCCCCAGCTCCCTAACCAGCTGAGAGCCACGGGCCTGCTCCCAGAAGCGCAGGACAGGCGTCGGCAGCGTCTTTGGCCACCTGCTTTTTGCGGTTTAGGTTTAGGGTTTAGGGTTTTAGGGTTTTTAGGGTTTAGAGGGTTTAGAGGGTTTAGAGGGTTTTGGGTTTAGGGTTTAGGGTTTAGGGTTTAGGGTTTAGGGTTTAGGTTTAGGAGGTGCTTTGTCCTCCTGCCCACAAAGGTTTGAATCGATGCGTGTTGCAAAACGCTTGGGAGCATTCAGGGGGCCTGTTTGGGATTTTGTTGGGATAGGGCCGTTTGGTGCCCTTTTCGGCTGTCGTTGTTCACATCATTGCAATCATGCGATTTTTAATTTCCTGATGCAAAGTTCGTCTTTGGGACCGTACTGTGAACTAGTCTGTTTGGAATGGGCCGTGGTGCATGGCTCTATTTATACAAGTCTAGCTGCGCCTCTCCGGCACACTGCAGGGCACTGACTGG